GGATCAGTATATGTCACGTGAAAATTAGAGGGGAACAGGTTAATATCGTAAACCCCTGGAACAGGTTAAGATTCCCCCGATAATAATAACTTACATCATGTGATCTAATTACCACAACATTTGACGATCATTACGAATATATATATATACACACAACAAACAAACTCTCTTTTACTTTTTTTTTTTAAAACAAAAATGGCGTTCCATAGTCATTACGTCGTAACTGACGAAAGTACCGGTCTCGTTCATAATTTATGTTATTACAAGGAATGTAATGCTTGTGATGTTTTAAATGAGGAACCCAAAGAAGCGAGTGGTGCTCCAGCAAGTTCTTTGGAAAATTCAAGTAAATCAATTCGATCCCACGCTCCTTTATCAAGTCAAAAAAACGGTGCCAATAGACCAACATCTAAAAACAAAATGGATAATGATTGTACGGATAATGGACAGAAGACGCTAATAAGAACGATAAAACCTTCACAAAAGAAAGGACCGATATTCAAGTTAAAACTTACTTCAGATATTATTAATGAAGGTTGTCGAGAAAGACGGAGAGCTTACAAAGCTGCAATGATGAATCAAGTTTCACTTGATTATTCATCTGATGAATATCTTGAAATAGAGACTAGCACGGAACCACCAATTAATGTGGAAAAAGACGCTCATGGTTTCGAAGAAAATTCTTACATTGTTGTTGGTGATTCTGATGATGAATGCATGGAAATAGATGGAACGGAATTTTCTAAAACATTTAATTCACATACCGATGATTCACATAGTAACTGCGAGACGTGTCCTTCAAGTCCAGCTAGCAATTCCGATTCCGATGTTGTTACTACAAATTTTCAACAACCAAAGGCGGATTCGGAACCTAAAGAATCTACGCGAAAGCCTATGAATTCTTTAATTGACAAATTTTACTCCGAGAGATATTCGAATATTAATGAGAAAGCTTCAAAATCGCAGGAAGAGTTTGCTAATGTTCCTGTTTCCGTTACAAGCTCAGTTTCCGATAATGCCGTGATATCTCATGAGAACGAAAAGGTTTTATCGAGATCTCTTGGAACATCAGAATTTCCCATTGATTTGGAAAAAGAAGATGCTGGTTCACCTACTTTTTCAAATCATGCAAGTCAAGTTTTAAATGAATTAAATCCTATGGGATTTAAAGTTGTGAACTTTATTCAAAATCAAGATAACCCAATGATCAATTGGTTCGATCGGAATGATTTCAACAAATTTATGTTGAATTCTGCGAAGCGTCGATTAGAAGAGCTCAACAACGTTAATAGTCAACATCCTAAAAAATATGTTAAACCCAGTGAAAGATCCTCCTCGGCAACTTCTCAAAGATGTAACCTATCATACGGTAACAAAAAAAAATAATTCGTTATTTTTTTAAACAATCTAACATTATAATTATTATTATTATTCTTATTCCTCTTCTTCTATTTTACAGTTCAAATACCTTTCTTTAAAAACCCAAGATATTTAACATGTGCTCTTACTCACGGTATAGTTTTTTCAGATCAACGAAATCATGGATCAAACGTGATTAATGATGATGAGAGACTTGAGCTTTTTGGAGATTATGTTTTAAGCATAACTATTTCACAAATGGCGTACGAAAAATTTAGAGGAGAATTAACACCAGATATATTGGAAAAAATTCATGAAGATTTACGTAATGATTATAGACTTTGTATATTTGCCAAGATGTTGAAATTACAAGATTTAATTTATGCTAGAAAATCCTTTTTGAATATAAAAGAAATGGGTGATATGTTTATTAAATTATTGGCTGCTATAGTTATGGATAGAGGGAAGAAATTCACGGTTGATTTTATTAAAAAGCTTATTGGACCTACAATGGAGAATTTGGTGTTGGATGGAAATTTAGTAAGAATGCGGATTAATGAGATGATAAACGAGGAAATACCAATCAAAAATGTAATTGGTGATCATCAAAGATTGTTGTTTGATCCCCTTTCTGCAAAATTATATATAGTAAATAAGTTCACAGGGACAAAGATGTAATATTACATTTTTTGTTGTATAAAATAATTAAATTATTGTAGATATTAAAGTACTATAAAAACTTTAAATTTTCATTTATCTTTTTATCTTCTGAAATCTAGTGAGTCACATGATAAATTTATAATTGCGAAAACAATTTATTGCGATACCATTGTAATAAAAAATAAACTTTTAATACATTTCTTATTCTAAAAGAATTTATGGAAAAGTTAACAATAAACCTTTATTTATTATTTTCACAAATTTTTTGATCAAAATTGGTAACAAATCCAATCAAAGAAGTTTGAATGTTTCCTAAAACAGCTTGTAAAACCCCGGATAAATTACCACCAGCATTTTTTAGCGCTAACTCATAGGCCTTAATCCATTCACCTTTTTCACCAGCCAATTCATTAAAAGAATCTTTAATAGTTTAATATTTCCTGGTTTAACAATCTCATCCATAAAATGACATATAGAAGGTGGATTACCACAAATATAATCCTGCTTTTCATGAGTGAATGTATTATTTATTACGATAGTTTCGTTATTTGCTAACTGTGAATCATTTATATTGGTCAGCAATTTTGGAATGGTTTTTGCAAAGTATCAAAATTTTCGATGGAATATTTTGCCGCGAATGCTTTTGCTATTCCTTTTTGACATGATACTTCGCATGTTTTGATCGAGGGTGAAAATAAAAATGATACAAGCAATATTATGATTTTGAAATTATTTAACATTGACGACAAGTTTTGCTTTGATTCTCAAATAAATAAAGTGAAAAGGCATTTTGAATAACCAAAATTCGGGTCTTTTATACATTAAAATTCTTAGAATAGTATTGCTCTTTATATATATATATATATATCACACGACGAATGTTAAATCATCTTAAAGGACAAATAAGATGAGAATTTTACGGCTTTTTTAAACTTTTGGGATATATATTTGGCAAAATCAAATTAGAACCATTTGTGGTGTTTCATTGTTAACAGTATGGTAAAATAAATCTGATAAGTATAGATCTCTACAACAAAATTTCATTTTATATCCCAATTTTCTATATATTCAAAATAAAAATAAAAAAGGAACTGGATAAATAATGCACATTACATTCAATTAAAATTGCTTTCGAAAGAAAAGTTCTCGCCGAATCATCAAATGTTTAATCTCACCAATTCATTCGGTATATCGTCAGGATGGTTAATCATAAAATCGCCGAGTCAAATAATTCTGACGAAAAAAAGGCTAAGCACTACTCCCTAAAAAAGCTCGGCCTCAAAGGGCACCTAGCTAAATCTGGAATCCTTTTCATTATAATTTAATTTAATATTATAATTTAATAAAAACAAATGCTTAAACAAACTAAACGTTTTTTTTTCAAATTCTCGGAGTAGATAGAAAACATGTATGATGACCAATATATGGTCATGTATGGTCAAGATGAAGGATTACACGAAACTCGAAATGAACTTCAAGTTACATGTATAAAGAAGAATTTCTATTTTAATTTTTCATAATAATAAATTAAAAACTTTCTCTTCTCTTATAATGTCATATAGAAACTTTCTAAAAATTTAAATATTTAAATTAATGTTTTGTATAGATCTAATATAATGAATCAGATTCAAATTCAGATTAGATCTATAAAAATAAAAATCAGATCAAATCAGATTTTGAACTGATCTGATTTTGTAAAATACTAATTAAAAAATAGTAAATTTTATACATAAGTTGATTGCTAAAAAATTAAGTTTTGAAGAATTTTTAATAAAATTGGGATTTTATTATATTTTAGTTTTAATATTATTATATTGGTTTTTAATTTAGTCAAAAATTTTAGAACCTGATTTTTTTAACAATTATACTATATTTAATAATATTAATTTAATTATTAAAAATAAAATTTATTTATAAATAATTAACTTATAAAATTTTATAACAATTAATGTATTAATTTGATAAAAAGTAAGGTAATTCAGAACTTAGCTAATAAGGATTTCTTTGCAATATATTATTTTATATGCATATATATAGAGAGAAAAAAAAAGAGATTAAGATTTGGAATTATATATTGATATATATTTTAACACTTATTTATTTACATAAATAAAAAAAAAGGTTAGATTATTTCTAATAAATAATAGATAATATACAACTATTCTTTTATGTTTTAACTTTATTATATAATTTGATTTAAATTTTTTAATCAAATAACTAATAATAAATTGTAATCTATATATTTAAAAATGTTGACAGTTATGAGATGTCACATTTAGATTACCCTACATAAATTAATCATAAATTGTAAAATGTTATACAAAGCCAAAAAAGGCAATTTATCTTCTAGTAAAATTTGAGTTTAAGTTTTAAAATTAGTTACACAAGTTTTCCTTTTTAGATATTTGTGTAATGTCATATAATTTACAAGAAATTATATTTTCAAAGTGAAAGCATTGTGTTTAAAATCATTGATTATTGATATGCAGCACTGATATCTAAAGTATAATAAACTGTTGATGTAGGTAACAAGTATTTACTAGTTTATATAAATATCAATGTAATATAATTTAATAAAAAAATATTTTAATATTTATTTTTTATTTCTTACTTATTAAAGATAATTAGATCCTTTTTATATAATATTTTCACATAATATTAATAATTTCAGACTTAAAAAATTAAAAATTTTAAAATATTTTGTGAGAACAAATAATCATATAATTAGTTATTAGCTAATCATATTAGTATTATTACACAAAAGAAGACATAGATGATAATGATCTAAAGGATGACGTTGATTCCTAAGAAATTATATATGTCATCTATGTCATCTATGTTATCTATGGCATTTATTTCTTTTATATATTATATTTCTTTTATTTATTTTATTTCATTTATTTATTATATTATATTTATTTTATATATTTTTTTTATTATATTTAT